TACATGACTCTTTGTTTTTATCTTGCTACTTTCAGAATCTTCTCTTTATCCTTAAGTTTAACCATTTTAGGAATGATATATCTTAGTATCAGTCTGTTTGTGTTCATCTTGTTTGGACGCTCTGTGTTTTCTGTACCTGGACATCTGTTTCCTTCTTTAGGTTTGGGAATTTTTTAGCCATAATTTCTTCAAGAATATTTTGATCCCCTTCTCTTTCTCTTCTTTTTCTGGAACTCCTATACTGTGAATGTTGGCATGCCTTATATTATTCTGGAGATCTTATAGATATCTTTTATTTTTTTCCATTTGCCTTTCTGATTGTGTGATTTCCATTGTTCTATCTTCCAGGTCAATCATTTATGATTTCTTCTGTATCACTTAGTATGTTATTACTTCTAGTGTGTATTTTATCTTTGATATTGAATTCTCTATTTTTGATTGTCTTTTTTTATACTTTTCAGTTTCTTGTTAGAATGATCAGTGTTTAGATCAATTAATTTCCCTAATTCAGTTCCTTAAGTCAGTAAACATTTTATTAACAGTATTTTTAATTCTTTACCTGTTACATTGCTTATTTATGTTTTATAATTTATTTTTTCAGGGGTTTTCTCTTCCTCTTTCGATTGAGAGTAGCTCCTCTAACTTTTCATTTTACTCAACTTTCTCTGCCTCTGTGAATTTAGGTGAAACTATTATCACTATTGTGGTCTTGAAAGGGTGTTCTTAATGAAAACATTACTATGCAGACTATCTGTGTCAATGATTTTTGTGGGAGGGCTGGAATTGGTGTGGATGCCAGTAACATTTTTCCTCATGGTGTACTGGCAGAAGCTATCACCTTGTTGGGGGGTGGCTCAAGATGGAGGAACTAAAGCCTATGCAGGCTGTGAGACAGGACTTCATCTCTGCTCAGTGGCCATCACTGCCCTGTCATGGGTGGGGTCTTATCCCAAGTTGCTTAAGTGGAAACTTTGAGGTTTGGGCTCTCATTGGCTCTGTTCCCTTTAATTGTGTGTTTTTCCTCTCCCTTCCCCAGGATCTTTGCCTCAAAGAAGGGGAGAGTTGAAGTAAGTGGTACTGTGTGCCTATAGAGGTCTGATGCTTTGCCCGTGTAGGCATTTGTGCCTCTGCTCAGATGCAGCCCACAATCATGTCTTTTTCCCAGTTGTTGCTGCCCACTTGTAGCCAAGTACAGCCCTCCTCATTTTTTATGGCTCTGAAGTCGTATTTCACGTTTCTAAATTTTGTGTATTTTCTTACTGTAGTTATAGCTGATTATACTACTTTTGTGTTAAACTTCATGCTAGATTCATAAAGCCACTGATCCATTATATTTGCTGCATAATTGACTTTACCAGTGAGAATACTTTTCATATATATTTTAAAATTTTTAGTTATGGCCTTTTCTGCTTAAAGTTGTTAATTTAACATTTGTTGTGAGACTGGTTTTAGTGGTGATACTTTTTTTTTCTGGTTTTTGATTGCTTGGGAAACTCTTTATCTTTCCTTCAATTCTGAATGATAACCTTACCAGACAGAGTAATCTTGATAGCAAGATTTTTCTTTTCAGCACTTTGAATACATCATGCTATTCTCTCCTGGCCTGCAATGTTTCCGCTGAAAAATCCAGTGATTGTCTTATGGGAACTCCCCTATATGTAAATAGTTGTTCCTTTCTTGTTGCTTTTGAAATTTTCTCCTTATCTTTAACTTTTGACATTTTAATTATAATGAGCCTTGATGTGGATATCTTTAGGTTCATCTTGGTTGTGACTCCCTGTGCATCCTGGATCTCAATGCTTGCTTCCTTCCCTAAGTTAAGAAACTTTTCAGCCATTGATTCTTCTAGTAAGTTTTCTGCCCCTTATTCTCATTCTTTGCCTTCTGGGATCCCTTCTATGCAAATAATTATATGCTTGATAGTCCCAGAAGTCCTTTAAGCTACTTTTATTTTTAATTTTTTTTTGGCTCTTCTGATTAGGTGATTTTCACTACCCTGTCTTTCAGATCAGTGATCTGATCCTCTGTTGATTCTCACTACTGTATTTTTCATTTCAGTTATTGTAGTCTTCATTTCTGATTGGCTCTTTCTTGTATTTTATAACTCTTTGTTGACGTTCTCACTGTGTTCATTCATTCTTCTCCTAAGTTTAGTGAGCAGCTTTATGACCATTATTGTGAAAGCTTTATTGAGTAGATTCTCTCTCTCTGTATCATTAAGGCATTTTTCTGTGTGTTTTCTTATTCTTTTGTTTGGAACATATTTCTCTGTTTCCTCAGTTTGCTTGGCTCTCTGTGTAGGTTTCTGTGTATTAGGCAAAAGTGCTAGCTTTCTCAGTCTTGAATGGAAACTCTTGTGTAGGTTCTGATCCTTCTCATTCAACTCTGCTCTAGCTCTTGGCTGTCTTTCAAATTATTGTGGTTTCTTATACTGCCTGGTTTATTCTTGATATGGCCCTGTTGTTGAGGGAGTGCCAAGACCTGTCAGTATTCCAAGGGGAGGAATCTCATTTAGCACATAGTTTCTAGCTGATTGGATGCCAGACCCTTTGACAGCAGATTTTAATGTAGATATATACAGTCCTTTGGGGCTAAAATTATAACCTCTGCTGGCCTCCAGACCAGGAGATCTGGAGATGTCCCCTCGATGATAGTTGCAAAAATCAGAGCTCCTGATGAATGTATAAGCTTCTTTCTTGAGACTCTGTTTGAACTGTGGCAAGGCAAAAGGTGTGTGCAAGAATACTCTCTCCTGCTTATGTTCCCTGAGAACACCTCCTTAGTCTCTATCTGTATGGAGAACTTGAAACCTGCCACTCAGAGTGAAGCTCCAATCTATGCAAATAGATCTTTCCCACAGGATGACTGGCGATGTGTTTTAGTCTGCTCTCTGTGTAGTCCCCTGGGGATTACAAGGCCCTGGGGATTCTGGGCCTGCCAAGGATATTTTTTTGATTTTTATAGCCCTGTGAAGCTCAGGAATGCAAGCCCCCTTGGTCACCAGAGCCAGGAAATCTTAAGGTTTCAATTGTGTGGACTGCATGTGTCTGCTGGCTTTAGCTAGGCATCTGGAGTCTGTAGGGGACAGAGCTAGCTCTCTTGCTTCAGGAAGGCAGTAGGAAAATAACTTGACTGAATATAACTGTAGGCTTCAGCAATGCAGCACCAGAGTGCTTTGTCTCTGCACTCACGTTGAAATTAGGCTGGGAGCAGGATAATGACATATTGTTCTGGTTTGTCAGCCACAGCCGGGGGAAAAGGAATACAAAATTGGCTTTAGGCTGGCAGAAGTATAACACCACAACTGCTTGCACTTGGAAGCTACAGGCAGGGGTAGGTGGGTGTTGCATCTGTTCATACTCACAGACTTTATCTAGGGAGCAAGATAATGCCATGATTGTGCCTGCCTACCCCAATGAATGAACAGGAGATTGTTTCAACTGCTGAAACTTTTCAGTTTCAGTAATGCAGCAGGCCAGTGCTGTCATTGCTTGCCCATTCATATGAGTTCACCTTTCTGTGCTTGTAGGCTAGGTAGGGAATGCAACGATGGTGTCTGCCAGTGCCTCCATCTCCGGGGACCGTTTCCACTGTCCCTTGCCCTTCTATCTCATGCTTTTAGATTCAGAAATATCTCTTCTTCACATATAGTCTCATCACTTTTGACATTGCTTGTAATCTCACTGGGTCTCAGGTCAAGTGAAACTGCACATGAATCTTTTTTAGATAGCAGTCTTAGTTTCCTATTGCACTTTGAGACCCTTGAACATTAGCCACATCGTTTTTCTAGGTCAGACATTAGGGGAGCCTGTCTTTCAGGTGTAGATCTCAAGGGCAGGGGTGCCTGATGTGAGGCACTAACCCCCAGTTCTTCTGGGAGAAAAGAACCTATCTGGTGAGATCCCTCCCTATTGTGTGCTACCATGCCAGGTGTGACTTTCTTAGTAAGAGTGTTTCTCTGCTTCTCATAGTCATCTCGATGTGATCCTTTTTATTTATTTATTTATTTTCAATTTTTTTGTGGAGCATGTGTTCAGCTAGTTCTCAGATTCTTTTCAAAAGGAATTGATCCAGATGGAGTTGTATAATTGTTGTGTCCCCAGGAGGACTTAAGTTCAAACTCTTCCTATGTCACCATCCTCAACCTTCTGATAAATCATTTCCCTTTGTTGCTTTCAAGATTCTATCCTTATCTTTGGATTTTGATGGCTTCATTATAACGTGTCTTAGTGTGGGTCTCTTTGGGGTTTTCTACCTAGAGTTCATTGAGATCCCTTTTTTTTAACATTTTTTATTGATTTATAATCATTTTACAACGTTGTGTCAAATACCAGTGTTCAGCACAATTTTTCAGTCATACATGGACATATACACACTCATTGTCACATTTTTTTCTCAGTGAGCTACCATAACATTTTGTGTATATTTCCCTGTGCTATACAGTATAATCTTGTTTATCTATTCTACAATTTTGAAATCCCAGTCTATCCCTTCCCACCCTATATTCATTTCTTCCCTCAAATTTGAGAAGTTATTGGCCATTATTTTTTCAAATAAGCTCCCTAGTATTCTTCTTCCTCTTCTCTTTCTGGAATTCCCATAATGCATGTGTTAGTCTGTTTAATTGCTTCCAACATGTTCCTCAGGCTTTGATAACTTTTCTTCATTTTTTCACCTCATACTCATTAATTTTAAGTGAACTTGTTATCAAATTCACAGACTCTTTCTTCTGCCTCTTTGAGTCTGTGAATCTTTCAATTCGTTATTGTATTTTTCACATCCAGAATTTCTGTTTGGCTCTTTCCTATAATTTCTCTTTGTTGACATTCTCACTTGATTTATATGTCATTTTCCTGGTTTCCTTTAGTTCTTTCTCCATATTTTCCTTTATATTAAGACTGTTGTTTTAAAGTTATTGCATAGTAAGTATGAAACATGTGTTTCCTTAGGGTTAGCTTCTGGAGGTTTATTCCTTTGAGTTGGCTGTATTTCCTTAAATCTTTTTTTTTTGAATTTAAATGCATTTTATTTTTAGACAACCTACACATGTTTTTTTTCTCAAAAACAATGCCTCCGCTCCAAATAAATCAACATCAAAATAAATGAAGCTCAAGATGGCATCAGTTCCATTTGTCTTTTAAGTCCTGGTGTTGTGTGGATGAAAGCAGTGGCCAGCCAGTTATGACAACAGGTGATAGATCCAAAGTAACAGCCAAATTTGTTAACATTTTTCCATTTCTAAACCATCCTTAAAGAAAATCATATATGGGGTCACACCATCCTCACGGTAGTGCAGCAAAGCCACCATGCCATCTGGATTCATGTTTTCACCAACAAAGAACTGATAGTTTTTGAAATTAGCAAGGATGTGCTTGATTTGTTCTGCAGCCCCTGTCATAAAAGGTTTTACTCTTTCTGGTCTCTGTTCTTCAAGTTTCCCTTTGATTGACTTCATGTAATCTTTGATGTACTTCTTGTAGGCTTCTTTTGTGAAGCTGGTTCCCTGCAAGTGATGGTTCATGACAATATCGACACCAGTGATTACTGTGCTTTCGGTACCTTCGCCCTCGGGGCCTTCAGCGGAGGCATTTCCACCAATGAGCGAGTCATCAATGTTACCCTCTGTCCTACTGACCATCTTCCCCTCCACCTCCAGACACAGCCCGTCCGCGACCTCCCGGATCTTGTAGATGTCGGAGAACATCTCATCATGGCTGATGAGGTCCCGGTAGATGATCATGATGGCGGCTGGAGGGACACGACAGCGGCTCTAGCTTAGCTGGAGCTCTGAGCGAGCGCGGTGCGGCCGGAGCGGCGCTCGGGGGGAGGGGGGAGCAGGCGGAAAAGCCGTATTTCCTTAAATCTTCATATGCCTTGTGCTATTTGTTAAAAAATGGTCATTTAAACAAACAATCGTCTCTCCCAGTCTTCGCACACTGGCTCTGTGCAGGGAAAGAACTTCATTCATCAGCCTGGATTGAAGGCTTAAGGTCTTCTCAGGCTTTTTTCTGGGCATACATCTTCCCTGGACTTCTGCATACCCTTTTTCTCTAGTTCTCCCTCATATGCTGCTACTTTTAAGTGTCTTAATTTCCCTAAGAGTGTCACTTCTCCTTTTACTTGGAGGCCTATGTAATTGTATTCCTCTATGTATAACCTCTTACCCTCAGATGTCCACAGGTCTGTATTCCTCCTGCAGCTTGATGTCCATCACATGCTCAGTGCCCACCACTGCTTTCAATGGTTTCTAACCTGATATCCAAACTATATTTCTTTTTCCTTCTCAACTCCAAGTCAGGAAAAGTAGAAACCAGTCCCTTAGGCATCTCCTAAACATGGCAGAGTGTTGCAAACAAAAAAAAGTAATACTATTTTCTTTTCATCTTGCGGGAGGAACAAAGAATTATACAACTTCCTCCTTACTTCGGCAAACTGCCCTGGAAAAGGGGAAGTGAAGGAAGGGCGAGTAAGAGTGTTAAGAAATTTCCTAACATTTTGAGAGTGGCTGTTTTTATCCTGGACATATGCTTGGTTGTAGCAGATACTTGACTAGTTTCTAAAGCTACCATAGAGCTCTTACAGTCTTTCTGTTATTTGCTTGATGTTTCTGTGGGGGGGATTGGGGTTGGAGCTTCATAGTCTGCCATTTGCTGTCACCTTTACACAACTTTTAATTTTATTTTTTACCTGTAGTTCTGTACTCATTTATAATCCTACTATTGTTTATTTGTGACTTACCTCCTTTTTATTAAAAAATAAACAAATTTGTACTGTGTTGAATGCTTAGCTATCTAATTTTCAGCTTTTCTCTCCTAATATAACCATTTAAGTCTAAAGATGTCCCTCTAAGTATCATTCTAAGAGCATCACAAAAGTTTTGGTATGTAGTGTTTCCATTTTTATTCTATACAAATTCTTTTCTATTACTAGCATTATTTATTCTTTGATCTTTTTATTACTTGTGCCTTAAAATTTTCAAATTCATGAGGTTTTTAAAAGTTATCTTTTTGGATTACCAATTTAATTAATTTAAATTGCTCTCTTGCTTGCCCTTGCCCCACTTCCCCACTTCCAGTGCAGTTTGGCACAGCAAGGAGGAAGTTGCATAATCCTTTATTCCTCCCTCAAGATGAAAAGAAAATAGTATTACTTTCTTTGCACCACTCTGCCATGTTCAAGAGATGCCTAAGGGACTGATTTCTATTTTTCCTGACTCGGCGTCCAGAAGGAAAAAGAAATATAGTTTGGATATCAGGTTGGAAGACACTGAAAGCATGAACAGGAAACATAGTCTGTATAATGCTAATATTTAAACTTTTGTTTATATTTGCTTTATGGAGTACGTAAACCAAATTTTTGTAACTACTTAATATGTACTTGTGGAGGCTATATTTACTAGGTGGAGAGTTTTATATTTCCAATTAATCTGCCATTGTGCATATCAATTATATCCTTAGAAATTTTGTGCTTAGTTTTTCAATAGTGCTTTTTACATTTTGAGTCTGTATTGCTAGGAACATACAGATTCAGAACTGTAAAACATACATATATATATATATATATATATATATATACACACACACACACACACATACATACATATATAAAACAATCAGGTATTGAGACTCAATCTCTAATAAAATTTTTATTTTAAAATTTCTTTTGAAATTAATATTGCTATGCTAGCATTCTTTTGGTGAATACAATCTTGTTATAACCTTTTCTCTCCATTTATATCTCATTATGGTTTAGGAAAATCTTTCCAAAAGAGAAGACAGAAAACATTATTACTTTGTCCAACTGGATAATTTCTATTTTAACTAGTGATTTTAGTTTATTTTCATTAGTTGGTTATATTATCTTTCTTTTTACTTCTTCATTTTCCACTCTTTTTTTTTCTTTTTGCCTTCTTTTTGCATTGCATTTTTACACTATTTTCCCTTCTGCTATTGCACTTTGTACACTTTGTTTTAGGGATTGCTCTTAAATTTTTAAGGTGCATACTTGACTACTCTAAATTTAATCAATATATCAACCTTTATCCAGAACAATAAAATAATTATAGAATACTATAATCCTGCCCACATTCTATTGTCTTGCATATTAGTGCTAAGAGTTTATTTTTGCTTTGATTTTTAAACCTCAGATTAGACTTAATTATAACTTTGTATATCAGTTTTTTTCTTTGTTGTTGCTTTGGGATTTATGCATATGTTTAACAGTTTCCTGGCTCAACTTCTTTTCAAATAGACTCTGTCCTATAAAGGTATATTTAGACCATTCACATTTAAAGTAATTATTGATGCAGTTGAATGAATGCATATCGTATTTGTGACTGTTTTGCATTTACTGCCCAATTCTATTTTATTTTATTATTTTTTTCCCATTTATTTACTGTCTTCTCTGGTTTTAACTGAACATTTTATATGATTCTCCTTTTCCCTCCTATCAGCAAATTAGTTATATTTCCTTTTATTTGTTATTTTAGTGTTTTCCCTAGAGTTTTCAACATACATTTACAATTAATACATCAGCTTTCAAATAATATACTACTTCACAGATAGTACAGGTAGTTACCTTAAATAAAATAATTCCAATTTCCTTGCTGTTCCTTACAACATGTTTGTTATTCATTTAGCTTATTAATAAGCTATAATTATCCAGTCTATAGTTGCTACTATTATTTTGAACTATCTTATCCAGTAAATAAATTAAAAATAAGAAAAATAGAGAGAGGGGTAATGATGGCTGAGTTAGAGGACAGGAAGTCAGCTCCCTCCACTAACACATAAAAAATACATCTATATGTGGAACTATTTTAACCAAAAAACTAACTGGCACAGCAATCAGGCAAGAAAAAGAAGTAAAAGGGATCCAAATTGGAAAAGAAGAGGTAAAACTGTCACTATATGCAGATGACATGAGTATATATAGAAAACCCTAAAAGTTCCACACAAAAACTACTAGCGCTAATAAAAGAATTCAGCAAGGTAGCAGGATACAAGATTAAGGTACAAAAATAATCAGTTGCATTTCTTTACACTAATGATGAATCAACAGGAAAAGAAAGTAAAGAAACAATCCCTTTTAAAATACCACTCAAAGTAATAAAATACCTAGGAATAAATCTAACCAAGGAGGTGAAAGACTTATACATGGAGAACTACAAAACACTGATTAAGGAAATCAAAGAAGACTTAAAAAATGGAAATAAAGCCCATGCTCCTGGATTGGAAGAATCAATATTGTTAAAATGGACATACTGCCCAAGGCAATCTATAGATTTAATGCAGTCCTTATCAAATTACCCAGGACATGTTTCACAGAACTAGAACAAATGATATTAAAATTATATGGAATCACAAAAGACTCAGAAATGCCAGAGCGTTACTGAAGAAAAAGAATGAGGCTGGAGGAATAACTCTCCCAGACTTCAGAAAATACTACAGAGCTACAGTCATCAAGACAGCATGGTATTGGTACAGAAACAGATGTATGAATCAATGGAACAGAACAGAATTCCAAGAAATGAACCCACAAACTTTTGGTCAACTCATCTTCGACAAAGGAGGCAAGAATATACAATGGAATAAAGACATTCTCTTCAGCAAATGGTGTTGGGAAAACTGGACAGCAGCATGTAAAACAATGAAGTTAAAATACTCCCTCACACCATACACAAAAAAAATCAAAATGGTTTAATGATTTAAACATAAGACAAGATACAATAAGCCTCCTAGAAGAAAACATGGGCAAAATATTATTTCACATACATCTCAGCAATGTTCTCCTCAGGCAGTCATCCCAAGTAATAAAAATAAAAGCAAGAATAAACAAATGGTGCCCAATTAAACTTACAAGCTTTTGCACAGCAAAGGAAACCATAGGCAAAACAAAATGAGAACCTACAGAATGGGAGAAAATATTTGAAAGATGAAACTGGCAAGGGCTTGATTTCCAGAATATATAAACAGCTCATATGACTTAATAAGAAAAATGTAAACAACCCAATCCAAAAATGGGCAGAAGACCTAAACAAGCAATTCTCCAATGAAGACAAATGAATGACCAATAGACACATGAAAAAATGCTCAATATCACTAATTATCAGAGAAATGCAAATCAAAACTACAGTGAGGTATCACCTCACACCAGTCAGAATGACTGTCATTCAAAAGTCCACAAATGATAAATGATGGAGAGGTTGTGGAGAAAAGGGAACTCTCCTACACTGCTGGTGGGAATGCAGTTTGGTGCAGTCACTGTGGAAAACAATATGGAGATTCCTCAAAAGACTAAATATAGACTTACCATATGACCCAGCAATCCCACTCCTGGGCATATATCCAGAGAGAACCCTAATTCAAAAAGATACTTGCAGACTCATAGACATAGAATACAAACTTGTGGTTGCCAAGGGGGCGGGGGTGGGAAGAGATAGACTGGGACTTCAAAATTTGTAGATAATGACAGGCATATGCAGAATAGATAAACAAGACTATACTGTATAACAAGATTATACTGTATAGCACAGGGAAATATATACAAGATCTTATGTTAGCTCACAGAGAAAAAATTGTGAGAATGAATATATATATATGTTCATGTATAATTGAAAAATTGGGCTCTGCACTGGAATTTGACACAACATTGTAAAATTATAAATTAATAAAATGTTAAAAAAAATTATACTGAAAAAAATTATACTGTATAGCACAGGGAAATATATACAAGATCTTGTGGTAGCTGACAGCAAACAAAAAAAATGTGACAATGAATATATGTATGTTCATATATAGCTGAAAAATTGTGCTCTACACTGGAATTTGACACAACATTGTAAAATGACTATAACTC